AACAAACAAACCAAAAAGGTCACACATCTTTAATTCTAGCTTGTGGGAGACAAGCGGCAGCCAAGTCTTTGTAGCAAACTCCAGACCTGGACTATATAGTAAGACCCTGCCTAAAACACACACACACACACACACACAGATAGAGGAGATGTGGTTTACTGTTTTATTTTCTTATTATGGGGAAATTTCATACAAAGTGAAAGAGACAGAAAGGTCCACAAAGTCCCAGGCACTCTGCACCACACGTCAGCCCACCATCAAAAGTGCTTCATTTACTGAGACAGGCTCTGTGTCAGTCTCCCTAATTCACTCAGTCTGCAGGTGCTGTATCATCAAGGAAGGCTTTCGTTGACTTCAGTGCCAAGGCAGAGTAAGCAGAAAGCAGCGGGGGGGAGAAGGCGGGGGGGGGGGCGAGCATTCTCAGATAAAGCGAATAGTAAGATCAAAGCCTGAGACAGTAAAGAGCTGTGTTTGAAGTGCTGGGATCAGGACCTGATAAAAAGGGGGGCGGGGCCAGAAAAGACATCAGGGTCAGAGCTTTGACTGAGAGGCCAGGTTTGGTGACGCAGCCCTGTCATCCCAGCGTTTGGGAAGCTGAGGCAAGAGAACCTCAGCTTCCCAAGTGCGTGAAAACCACTGTGGGCTGCACAGGGAGACGCAGTCTCGGAAACAAAACAAAGCAAAACCTTTCCTTTTCTTCGGTGTGGTGGACTCCACCGGAGCGTTTTAGGTGGCTAGTGATTAAAATCAGTTCTCCCCAGGACGGGCGGGGTTGTGGTGTTGCCTACGTACGGTCGGCACGAATTTACAGCTCTTTAAAGTCACCAACAGGACTTCGGCATTGCACTCCTGAGGGAAATGGCAATGTTCAAGGTCATTCTCGGGTAGGGAATTAGAGGCTAGCCAGAAAGAAAGAAAGAGAGAGAGAGAGAGAGAGAGAGAGAGAGAGAGAGAGAGAGAGAGAGAGAGAGAAGAAGCAAACTCCTTTAGGAGATTTTTTTTTCTCCTCCCCAGTGGTGTACCACGCAAAGGAAGTCGCCTGCAATTCCAATAAGAATGCTGACACTCCTTTGCCTCTGGGCATTTGCATTAGCTATTTCCTCCGCCAAGAGACTCCCATTCTAGTTGGCTCTAGTTCAGACTTGGCTTAAAAATCAGCCCTGGAAGTCCTTGCAGAACCCCGGCCTGGGGCCGGGGTTTCTGGCACCCACAGCCTCCTACTTTCCACCTCTTCCAGGTCTGCAGTACTAAGTTTTAGTCTAAACAAAGGTGGCTCGTCTTCCTTAGATGGGGGGAGGGCGGTGGGCAGATTTCTCGAAACGCAGAAACCCACGTGTGGGCCTAATTCACAAGTGGGCAATGAAAATTTATCCTGGGTGGCAGGGGAGAGAACCGAGTCCTAGACCTCCGGTAGTTTCAGGACAAGGATACCAGTCTACTTCGCGCAAGTCTGCAGTCCCTATACGCAGGCGCTTGGTTCAGGTGCCCCCCCCACCATCCATATGCTAATCACTGCGCTGGGAAGGACAGCCTCTCCCGGGGAAATGCAAATCACATCGTCCAGTGCGGGAGGCCTTCCTTTGTCCCGCACTAGGATTATGCAGATGAGCGAGCCTCCAACCCCGGGATCCAGGCCGAGTCCCTAGGCCCTCACCCCTCCACCCCAAGGCATCCTCTATTTATAAGGCGCATCCGCTCCTCCGCGCTCGCCCGCTCCGTGCCACGCTCCGTGCCGTGGACTGTACCAAGTCCAGCGGGGCCGTGAGCCGCGGAGCCCGACACCCGCGCCGGCGCGAGCTCGGCAGCCTGCGCGAGTCTCTGAGCCCCTCTTCCCACCGACGGCCAGGAATGGTCCGTCTGGCCGCGCACGCGCCCTGAGCCACGCTCGCCCCTCGCTCGCTCGCTCGCCTAGGCTCCCTGAACGCAGGCGCAGTGCCCGGCCTTGCAGCCGCCACCGCCGAGCCCGAGCCGGGGCTGCCGGCGTCGGTGAGTGTCCGTGCTCGGGGTGCGCGGGGCATGCCGGGAAGCGGGCGATACAGCCCCGCTGCATGACGGGAGCCCGCGGCGCCTTGGCAGGGTGACCGGCCCGAGAGTCCTTTGCTGCTTCTCTCAGCACGCGGCTCGGAACGTCCCCCAGCTTCGCCTCGCGGCTTTGTGGGAGCTGGTGGGCCAGGCGGTTTACGGGCCTGGGGCATTCTGGGGCAGGGCCTGGGCTCCCGGAGGGCGTCCTTTTTCTTTTCTTTATTTTTTTTTTCTTTTTGTCGCACATGCTTTCCTCGAGAAGCCTGACGGTGCTTGGCGTCTTAGAAGGTGGTCGTTAAAGGCCCAAGGCGTCGTGGGAAGTTGTCACGGGGCATTGTCTGGTATCGGGGTCTGTCCGAGCCCTTGTCCTACCTTAGCGTTGTGCGGAAAGGTAGCTATTGTGTTCACTCACCATCTCGGTTCAGTGTTGTCTGGGGTCCGGGCCACAGTATTTGCCTTTGTGGGAGGCAGGGGAGACGGTTCCACGTAGCCCTGGCCGGCCTTGAACCCACAATATTGTGGAGGATGACCTAGGATTTCTGATCTCCCAAGTGCTGAGTTTGCAGGGATGCACCACCACGCCCAGATGATTTTCACCTGTAGTGCTGAGGATGTTTTTCTTTTTGTTTTTTTACCTCTACCATCTTGGAAGTAAGTCTGGCTGCGTACAGGATTTCTGTACTGAGGGATGGTTCCACCTGACACCCGGAACATTCTGGAAGGAGCTTTGTGTAATGTGAGTTTGGAAAGGGATGGTTGTCCCCAAGTCACCCCAAGGAAAGTCCTGACCATCCCTGCTGTGGTAGCCAAGTAAAATAACAGTTAAACCCTGGTGTGGTGTCACATGCCTATAATTCCAGCACCCTAAGGCTGGGGCAGGAGGACCTGGAATTTTAAGTCAGTTCTGGCTGCATCATGAGACCCGATCTCAAAACAGAAAGGGGGAGAATGAGTACTGCATGAGCATGTATAACAAATATTTATCTAAAATAGAAACCAGTTGTTTTCAGTTTTCCCAGGCAGAACGTAGAACTCCAGAGTTAGAGGGGGGTCTCCCTGTGATCGGTAATAATGAGAGCTGTTGCTTGCCAGTTAACCGATTCTGCCCTTGAAAGGCCTCATCCAGGTTCCAGGTGTCCTTTAAGTTCCCCCCGCCATTGACGTCACTCACACTTCCTGCTTCAGCTGCTTTACCCCAACACTGTACTTGACATCAGGGCTTTGAAAAGGTAGTGTGTGCTGTCTACCATTGTGTCCGCAGTGCCTAATGTACAGACTTTGTCAAGTTTCTAGTGAGGCTGAGCCAGATGGAGTGGTGAATATCTATAATCCTTTACCCTTGAGGCTGAGGTTGGAGGGTTGCAGGTTCAAGGCCAACCTGGACTGTCTAGCAAGTCTATGGAGAGTGTAAGAATACCGTGCTTGTTAGTCCTACACTGGCCCCATGGGGCCCTCTCACAGTTGCTGTAGGAGGAAGATGGGTTATTAGGGCTGAGAAGTGCAGAATATGTTTATAGATGGGCTTTGCAAGGTGAAAATTAGTTCTCCAAGGCCCACAAGGAGGAAGGAGAAAATTCCAGATGGAAACTGCAGAGATACTAGACACCCTCCCCCCCAACTATAAAGGGCCTGTATGCACCCTCCAGAAGTCTGGAGTAGCTGGCTGGCTGGGCAAGGTACCTGCAAGTTCTATGAATCTGTTTGTGAGGCAGGGTCTCATATAGCCCAGACTGGCCTCAAACTCTTTGTTGTCAACGATGACCTTAAACTAACTTCCATCAGCCTAAGGGCTGGATTGCAGGTGTGGGCTGAGTTTACTGCTGCTCAAAGTATGACTTTGATTCTTTGTTCAACCACCAGTCTGGTGAGGTGACCTGTGATCTTGGGCTTTGGATCACCTGCTGGTCCTTTCTGTTCCATCCTTCTTCTGCTTCAAGGGAGCTGTTTCTGTGTGGTACTGAGTATACCATTCGAGGCCCAGTGGGAGACTTTTCCAGAGAAGGACACAGACAAGAGAAGTTGGGTCCTGTTTGAAGCTATAGCCAGAAAAGGACCGATTTGGGTTCAAACCTAGTCTGACTTTCACAAATTAGTGTAAATTGATGCCTGACACTCCAGGCGTGGTGGTGCGTGTATAATCCTGGCACTTGGCAGGAAGATCTAGAATTCAAGGTCATCTGTGGCTACTTACTGACCTTGACGCCAATCCAGGATACAGGAAGCCCCATTTCAAGCCAGGAAAAACTGAAAAGTAGCAATGTAGCTCAGTTGGTAGTGTCCACCCCAGGTTTGATGTCCAGCCTTTCGGGGATAGATTCAGGAGTATCAAATTCAAGGTCAGCCTAGGATATTTGAGTTCCTGTCTTGGAAATGCCAGGCAGTGGTGGCTCACACCTTTAATCCCAGCACTCCCAGGAGGCAGAGGCAGCCGGATCTCTGAGTTCGAGGCCAGCCTGGTCTACAAGAGCTAATTCCAAGACAGGCTCCAAAGCTATGGAGAAACCCTGTCTCGAAAAACAAAACAAAACTAAAAGAAACTATTTCCGGGGTAGCTAGTGTTTCAGCTATAACAAGTTGCCTGTGTCCCTGATAACTAACGAGGTGTCCTCCCTCAGCCCTAGACCTCCTTACCATGGACAGCTGAAGGGTTAATGGCTGGCACAGGTCCCTTCATTTTACACTTAGTTATGATTTGTGCCAGTACCTACCTTTAAATAACTAGGGATATCGTCTCTCCCTACTCTACCGAATAAGAACTACAATGTCTTGTTGAGACCTCCAGGAGGCAGAGTCAGGATTCTGTATGCAGTCAAGACAGAACAGAGGCCTCACCCCAGCACTGAGCACACGGCGGACTCGGAATGGGGGCAAATGTTATGTAAAAATTTATTGAGTCACCACAGGCTTTTCCTTTCCCCACGTCCAGCATCCCTCGCTACCTGCCAGCAGTCTGCGATAGAAGAGCTTGTGACTGGGAGAGCTGGCCGGGGAGGGACCCTGCCCAGTTGCTGCTCTACTCCCGTCTCTTGTCCCCTCCCCTGGCCATGACAGAGACCCGTGAGCCAGCTGAGACTGGAGGCTACGCCAGCTTGGAGGAAGATGATGAAGACCTTTCCCCAGGTGAGATAGCCTTAGAAGTTGTGGTGTTGACGAAGCTGGATTCCTGGGCTTGGATTCCCTTGGGAGGCTGCGAGGAGGAGTGACCCCTTTCCTTGTTGTGGGCTCTCTTCTGGCTAGAACTCCTGGTTCTGGTGGGAGATGGCTTCCCTGGGAGGCTCTCGGGGGCTGTAGCTTGGTCGTATTCTTGGTCCTTGGTGGAGGTTCTAGATTTGCTGTGTTCTCGGTCCTTGCTGTGAGTTCTAGGGTGGCCGTGTTCTTGGTCCCTGCTGTGGGTTCCATGGTGGCCATGTTCTTGGTCCCTGCTGTGGGTTCTAGAGTGACTTCGGGAGCTCTCCTTGCTGGTGGCTCTCAATTGGCCACGGTGCCTTTCCTTGCTGGAAATGGTGGATCGGCTCTGTGCTCTCTTCTTGATGGAGGCTCTAGGCCGGCTGCGGGCTGTGTCTGTGCTGGGGGTTCTAGACGGGTTGTGCCTACTTTCACTGCTAGGCATCCTAGACAGCTTGTGGCCCTTCTTCCTGGCAGTTCTGGATCGGCTGTGATGTCTCTCTCGGGTCCCTCTGGACCGGCTGCGACTTTCTTCTTCACTGGAAGTCCTAGACCTCACTCGACTTCTTTCCCTTCCTAGAGCTCTCCGTGGGCTGTGTCGTTTCCCTTGGCTGTGGGTTCTGGACTTGCTGCGTCTCATCTGGGTGGGTGTGCCCCTCCGTGTACGACTTCTTGCCCTACTACGATTTCTCTTCCAGCTGTAACTTCTCACCCGGTTGTGGGTCCTCTTGTGACTGTGACTTCTTGACCTTCTGGGGCTCCTGGAGCAGCTGTGACTTCGGGTCCTGCTGGGGGTCCTGGAGCGGCTAAAGCTTTGGGTCCTGCTGAGGCTGCAGTCCTGCTTGTAACTCTTGACCTTGCCTGACAAGTCAGTCAGATCTGTCAAGGTGTGAGTCTGTTCCCTGCTGGGGGACGTCACCTGGCTATAGCTCTTGGCTCTCCTGGATGCCACAGGAGACTTGCTAGAGCTCATTAAGACTGACCTACTTAAGCTGTGGCTCTTGGCCCTACTGGGGATCGCAGCTACTCTAGAGCTGCTCCCCGGGTCTGAGGCCCCTGGCAACTTGGGGCTCTTTTCCTGGTGCGTGTTTCTAGGCTGGCTGGCACTCCTTTCCTGTGTACTGGTTCTAGGTTGGGTATAACTCTTGTCTTGGCTTTGTTTGCGGTCAGAAGTAGGTGTCGTAGGTGTCATTGCCTTCTTGGCCACACCTGGTTTGGCGGAATGGGTTCTCTTCCTGATAGGAGTACTTGTTCTGCTGGGGGACATCTTGGAGCTGTGACTTCGCTTCCTGCCCGGAGTTCGCCCCCGGCTATGTGTGCCTTTCTGCTGATGTTGTTCCACGATGCCAGTCTTGCCGCTCTTCCTGCCCTTGCTGGCCTTCCTGGCACTGGTGTCAGTGCTCAGCCGACTGGGTGTTCTCGGCTTGCTGTGGCCTTGGGATCTACTGCTGGGACGGGTTGAAGGAGCTGTCTTAGTACCTGTTGATCTGGTAGACTTAGGACTACTGGGGCTCATGACCAAGTTAGGGGACTTAGGATGCACTAAGGAACTGTTGGGCGCCGCTGCATTGGTGGTCTTCAAGGAAGCTGGAGGTATGGGAGCTGTGGTGGGCATGGAGGGCCCAGTGGGTGCCGGTGCCGGAGCCATGCCGGGCTTGGAGGATCTCTTTGATGGAGAATGCATGGCGGGTGCAAAGGGGCTTGAGCTCCTAGAAGTCAGGGTAAAGCATGCCTGATTTGGTAGCCAAGGACGATGACCGGATGGCTCATCACAGCAACTTCATGAGGTCATAGTGAGCACTGAGAACTCTGGAGAGTGAGATCAGAGGGGAGAGAAGGTGGGACCCTGGCACAAGGCTGGAGCCTGTTAGTGAATAGAATCACATCCACTCTGACTTAACAGGGCTGAAAATTGGAGCTGGGTTCACCAAGGGCCTGCCTTGAGTCTTCAGGCCTAGGTGATGTTATTGCTGGGGTGGGCGAGCCCAGAGAGAGACACTGACCACCTCGAGTTCCAAGGAGGCTTCAACTGAGCTGGAGTTGTTGGTAGAACATGGAAGAGTCTTCACAGGGAGGAGCAGACGGAAAAGCCTCCTGGAGGTGGGACTCAGGGCCTGGGCTCTCCATCAGTCATGACCCACTTGTCATCTACTAGACCGAGGATGGAACCCAAGATCAGGTCGAAAGCCACAGCCTCTAGACAGTGATGGGGGCAGCAATAGCCAGGACCATCAGGGAAGTGGCTATCAGAGGTTTGCCTGTGCTGGGTCCTGAAGCCTGAATAGGAGGGGCCAAGTGGACATAGTGTGGGACAGTGTTGCCGAGGGACACTTAGGCCTCAGGGAATATCTGTAGAACGTGAGAGGGCAGCAGAATGGGGCAGGGACAATGAAATAGTACTGAGACTGGGAGGGATGCAGTGGATGGATACTGAGGGCCTGCTCAGGTTTGGGGAGGCACCTGGGCACAGATGCCACAGCCCTGGGAGACTCAGAGGGGACAGTGGGAGGCCAGTAGAAGAGATGACTGGCTAACTAGGATGAGGTGGTCTGGGGTGGCTCACTAAGGAGGGAGCTTTGCCCTGGGTCCTAAAGGGAAAAGCAGGACAGCATCCATAGCAGAGGGGACAGCGTAGACAAGAGGCATCCCACAGATGCTCAGCACGCAGTCTTACAGAGCCACCACTCAATCACCACGTCTCTAGGGACAAGAAGAAACATCAGTACAGGTAATTACTGTGCAGATGATTGGACTACAAGGGAAGAATTAAGGTAGGGTGAGGGCATTAACAGCGCTGGGGGTGCTGCAATGAAACAGGGTAATCAGTGTCCTCAGACAGGCTTGGAACAGGATCTGCAGAAAGGGATGCAAAGGCCCACCCACGGAGACTGGGGAGGATAGGTGATGAGGTCCGAGCCCTGGCCCCCCCCTCCAGCATTTTTTTTTTTTTTTTTTTTTTGCCTTGGTGATGTGAGTGGTAAAAGTAGAAACACCATCTCTGTGAACTGCTGGAGGACACGCAGGGGCTGAGTGGATGCAGAGGGAGGTTGTGCCACAGTCCAGTGAGGTACTTCCAGCAGGCATCTTGACCATGGAGACCTTAGCATCGTGTGGCCACAGACCAGCTGCTCATGTATTTATTCATCACTTCATGGTTTTTTATTATAAAGCTTTTGTTATTTTGTATATTGTTTTAATGAAGGTGGGTATACCCTCATGGTACCAGAAATGTAGGTCACAGGACAACTATTGAGAGCTGTTTTTCTTTCTCTGCTGTGTGGGTCCTGGGAATCAAACTCAGGTCCGTCAGGCTTAGCAGCAAGCACCTTTAACAGTGAGCCATCTTGCCAGTATTTGATCATGTTTTTAAACCCAAACTTGTCTATATGTACTTTATGCCCTGAAATTGCAATAATGTGTCTATACTTAAAACTGTGCATTTTAATTGACTTGTGTATCAAAATGGATATTTGTAATTCCAGCACTTAGAGACTGAGGTAAGATGAAGGCCAACTTGGAACACATATGTACATCCTTAAATACATACATACATACATAGGTACATATGCGTGTATATGTGTTATGTCTTCTAAAAACAACAGGAAAGTCAGGTATAGTGGTGCCAGCCTAATCCAAGCTTTTGGGAGTTCAAGATCAACCCTAGACTGTCTGAGAACCTGGTCACTAAAGAAAATGGGCAGGGAATAGATCAGTATGTAGAAATACTTGCTGTGGAATCAGGAGTCCAGGACTCCAGCGTCCACGTAAAAACCCACCGTTGTCTCTGCACCTGGGATGCCACTGCCAGGAGGCACAGGCAGGAGGGCCTTGGTGTTGTCTGGTTAGGTTAGTCAAGGAGTAGGTAAGAAACCCCATCTAGAAACATGAGGTGGCAAGTGTTAAGGAAAACACCAGTGCTGACTTGTGGCCTCTCCACAGGCACAGTGTTTCTTTTTTTGACTTTTTTTGGGCCCACCACCCAGCTTCCAGATAAATACATGGAGACTTATTCTTACTTATGAATGTCCTGCCTTCGCTTGACTTGTTTCTTTCTTTCTTTGTTTTTGTTTTGTTTGTTTGTTTGTTTGTTTTTCCAGACATTGTTTCTCTGTAGCTTTGGAGCCTGTTCTGGAACTAGCTCTTGTAGCCCAGGCTGGCCTCAGACTCACAGAGATCTGCCTTCCTCTGCCTCCCCAGTGCTGGGATTAAAGGCGTGTGCCAACATTGCCCGGCTTGCTTGGCTTGTTTCTAGCTGGCTTTTCTAACTTAATTTAACCCATTTCTTTTTAACTACAATTTTGCCTCCTGGCTTTTTACTTTTATTCTGTCTTTCTTTCCTTCCTCTGTGACTTGCTGTGTAGTTGGATGGCTGGCCCCTGGTATCCTCTCTCCTCCTCTCCTCCTCTTCTCAACTTCTCCCTCTTCTCTTTTTCTCCTTATATTTATTCTCTGCCTGGCAGCCCTGCCTATCCCTCTCCTGCCTAGCTATGGCCATTTAGCTCTTTATTAGACCAATCAGGTGTTTTAGACAGGCAAAGAGTCACAGCTTCACAGAGTTAAACAAATGCAACAGAAAAGAATGCAACCCATCTTTGCATCATTAAATATTCCACAGCATAAACGAATGTAACACATCTTAAACTAATATTCCACAACATACAAGTCTCTACGCGCACTACACACACTTATACAGATGGGAAAAAAACATTGTCTTATTTTCGTGTACTGCATTTTAATTTACTATTTTGCTACCTATTCTGATGCTTGTTTTCCTGGAATGGTCCACTGTAGAACATTGTCATATTTAGCTCTCTGGTAGACTGTGTGATCACAGGTGAGTGATTCGTATACCTGCTCTAATGCCTCGGTTTCTGGATTGGTCCAGGTGTTGCTCTAAGAGCTGGGTGAGCACACGCTTACTGTCTGCTGTCTATCCCACGGCTGATGCCCATGTGTCTGTCTTTCATTTTGAGACAGTGTCTCATTCTCTGTAAGCCAGCTGGCCTGGAGCAATTCTTCTGCCTCAGCCTCCTTGGGTTCTGGCATTACAGATGACAGGTGTAGCACTTGCAGCTTGCAGGCACTCATGTGCTAGACACATGATTCATTGCATCTCTGTTGTGCCGAGCTGTCCGCCATACAGTGAGCTTGAAGGGGACTCAAGGGGGCAGCTGGACATAGCCCTGACGCCATGTCTCTCCTACCCGCCCCAACAGGCCCGGAGCATTCTTCTGACTCTGAATACACTCTTTCAGAGCCCGACTCTGAGGAGGAGGAAGAGGAAGAGGAAGAAGAGGAGACCACTGATGACCCTGAATATGACCCTGGCTATAAGGTGAAACAGCGCATAGGTGGGGGCAGGGGAGGCCCATCCCGCCGGGCCCCCCGAGCAGCCCAGCCTGCTGGCCCACCTGCACAGCCCTGCCAGCTCTGTGGCCGATCACCACTGGCAGAGGCCCCACCCGGTACCCCACCTTGCCGACTCTGCTGCCCTGCAACAGCAACCCAAGAAGCTCCAGCCCCTGAAGGCAGGGCTCTTGGTGAGGAAGAGGAGGAGCCATCTCGCACGGGGGAGAGCCGGCCAGCAGGGCGGGATGGAGATGAAGATGAGGAGGAGGGGGGTACCTACCACTGTACGGAGTGTGAGGACTCCTTTGACAACCTCGGGGAACTGCATGGTCACTTCATGCTACATGCCCGGGGTGAGGTTTAGGTAGGGCCACCCGGGAGCTGGTGGAGGGGTGGGTGGGAGCAGGGGCTGAGGAAGCTGCAGTCGGGGCTGGGTCCCACCCATGTGTGTTGTCTTAGCAGTAGATATGTGAAGGGCAGAATGAATAAAAGCCAGATTGTGTGTGTGACTGAGTATGGTGAATGCGGTCTGCACCAGCATCCCTCTGCTTCCCCTCCTGAGTGCCGTGATTACCAACATGCACCTCCGGGACTGATTTTATGTGATGGTAGGGATTAAACTTCAGCCTTTGAGCCAAAAAAAAAAGAAGGAAAGGTCCACCCCAGCCGTTTTTGTTTGGCTTCATTTTTCTTTCGTTCTCTCTCTCTCTCTCTCTCTCTCTCTCTCTCTCTCTCTCTCTCTCTCTCTCTCTCTCTCTTACTTTTTGTATGCCAGTAGGTAAGCAAGTCTTGTTACAAATGGTGACAANCCTCCGGGACTGATTTTATGTGATGGTAGGGATTAAACTTCAGCCTTTGAGCCAAAAAAAAAAGAAGGAAAGGTCCACCCCAGCCGTTTTTGTTTGTCTTCATTTTTTTTTCTCTCTCTCTCTCTCTCTCTCTCTCTCTCTCTCTCTCTCTCTCTCTCTCTCTCTCTCTCTTTCTTACGAATTGAATGCCAGTAGGTAAGCAAGTCTTGTTACAAATGGTGACAAGACACCAATGGGATCCAACCAAGAGGTACTTAGTTCGTGTCAGTGATGCTTTGATTGTGTAGCCTCAGCTGATGGGAAAGCCATACACCATCTGCAAACACACCTGGCCTTCACCTTCATTCATAGCGTAGATTTCCATTGGAAACTGGCTCTTTGTAGAAACACAAAACTGAGCCAATGGGAAGCCTGCTTAGTGCTGCAACCAGACATCTCTGTGGAACGAGGGGATGCACACATGCAGTGGGGGGAGTCGAGGGGAGATCTGGGGGAGTGGGTTGGAATCGGAGGTGTCGGTATGACTCATGACTCCTGTATAACCACATGATGCATCATATTTAGTGGCAGACCATAGTTTTTAAACCATGTTCACTTTTTTTTTTTTTTTTGAGACAGGGTTTCTCTGTGGCTTTGGAGCCTGTCCTGAAACTAGCTCTTGTAGACCAGGCTGGCCTCGAACTCAAAGAGATCTGCCTGCCTCTGTCTCCCGAGTGCTGGGAGAGTGCTGGGTATTGGGTGTCCTGGTGCTGCGCAAGGTGTTCAGGCTTGGAATCCCAGTACTATGGAGGGTGTGACACATGGTTGAGAGTTCAAGGCTAGCCTGGGCTTAGGAAGAGTGATGTCCCTGTCTCAAAAGAACAGTACACACACCAGAAAGACTAAGAAATGAGGCTTTGAGATAGACCATACTAATTGGTAGAAGCCTGGCACCAAAGCTGCTTTAAAAATCAAAGGCTGATTATAGTAATAGCTACCATTTACCAAATGTTTACTGTTGCCAAGCCCTGCTCTGAGGTGCATTACACGTGTTAACTCATAGGAGCTTGGCAGCTAGGAGCCTCTAGGAATAGGACCCAAATTACCAGATTGGCACCAGAAAGTCTGCTCACAGTGGACCAGGCCTGTCTCAGTGCCATATGTGGAGAAAGCGCAGGGTACCGGGCTCACCCAGCTGATGCTCCGAGTTTCTGAAGTGGCACGTGACTTGAAGCAGCTATGCCCTAGCCCCTGAGGGTTGTGTCGTGACAGGAAGACTAGGAACACGTGTTCAGACAAGCCATGCAAAGTATGGAGCTAGGCTTCGTGACACATTCTGGGGGCTGCAGCAGCAGTCTGTTTGGAAGCTCCAGAGTTGCCCGAGGGAGTGCTGGGGGGAGGTCTAAGGTAGGGGCCTGCTTGGGGTCCTTGAGAGGGAGTGGAGGGCGAGGGGAAGAGGCCTGGTGACAGCAAGGAGCTGAAAGGTGCGGAGGGCCAGGCAGGCTTCAGTACCAGGAACGGAACCCAGGGCCCCTGTGCAGAGCTATACCCCAGTCCCCACAGGGCTGGTTTCTGTCCACTTTTGTTTTAGGTTTGGTCTCATGGTTCATGCTGACCTTGAATGCACTGTGTTGTCACCTGGAGTTTCTGATTTCACCTCCGAGTGCTAAGATCACAGGTGTGAGCCTCCCCCAAGTCCAACTTTATACATTGCTGGGACTGCAGCTAGGACTTACTTAGCTCATGTTAGACAGTCACAACTGAGCCACATCTTCAGCCCATTTGGGAACGTCTTAGAACTGCTACCATGGGTATAGAGGTTGAGCCCGTGTGGGAAGTCCACAGCTAGTAAGGAGCAGAGTTTATATTCTGACCACTAAGTCAGAAGCGGTGCCTCACAGCTTGGGTCCGGTTTGCAAGAGCACCCGAAATTCTCCATACCAGCTCTGAGAGGTGAGTAATATCCTGGCTTTTGTTGGAAATGGAGATCTTGTTGGGCTGTAATGGCACATGCCTTTAATCCCAGCACTTGAGAGGCAGAGGCAGGCGGATCTCTGTGAGTTCGAGGCCAGCCTGGTCTACAAGAGCTAGTTCCAGGATAGGAACCAAAAAGCTACCAAGAAAGCCTGTCTCAAAAAACCAAAAAAAAAAAAAAAAAAAAAAAAATGTAGATCTGGATTGCCAAACCCAGTCTCATGGTCAGTAGTTTGGCAGAGCCATGGAGAGGTCACCTCCCTTGTCACCTCGATGCTCCAGCCTCAGCAAAGGAGCTTCGCATTGTAAGTGCATTAGGCTTCAGAGATAAAGTCTAACAGGAACTGGCTCCTTCACTGAAGAGTCTGCCATGAGAGTAGTGGCTTCTGACTGCCCAACTCCAGTTCAGGGTGTCTGGCGCCCTCTTCTGGCCTTGGTTGTCCATGCACACTCACCTGATAGACATGATTTAAAGTCTTTGAAAAGTGTGTGTCTGGACAATTTGCAGGAGTCTCCCTGTACTCTCCCACTGTACTCTAGGGGTCAGACAGATCCTCAGGCTTGGCAAGCACTTTGTCTGCTGAGTTGTATCATTTTGGTACTCTGTTGAAAGCTCACATGCCGAAATGTCTTCCGTAATTTATTTTTCACATTTTTATGTGCATTTGGCGTTTTGTCTGCATGCGTGTCTGTATGAGGGTGTCACATTCCCTAGAACTGGAGTCACAGACAGTTGCGAGCTGCCACGTGGTTGCTGGGAATTGAACCCTGTTCCTCTGGAAGTGGTTCCTCTTAACTGTTGAGCTATCTCTCTCTAGCCCCAAAATGTCCCTTTTGGTTTTTCAGGCCAGTGTTTCTCTAACTTTGGACCCTGTTCTGAAACTAGCTCTACAGACCAGGCTGGCCTTGAACTCACAGAGATCCACCTGTCTCTGCCTCCTGAGTGCTGGGGTTAAAGTGTGTCACCACCGCCTGGCCCCAAAATGTCTTTTAAAACCCATCCTTTTCATAACTGATAGTAGCTGAGCATCCAAAAACTGGCATCAAGTCCATGCTCATGGATAAGATTATCTTGGTCCATTTATGTTGGCATAGCAATATGCTTGAGGCTGTACACTTAATAAAGAATGTGAATTTATTTCAGCTCTGGAGGCTGGGAAATTCAAGATCAAGGTCTGATGGGCTTGTTGCTCCCTTGTTAGCCGTGTTTGAGGAAGCCTCTCAAGGGCTGATTGGCTCAGTTTCAGCCCATGGTGACCTGACTCTGGGCCTGTAGTGGAGCAGAACCAATCACCTCATGAGGTTAGGAGCAGTGGCTGTCCTGCAGATCTAGGCTCTCAATGCAGTCAGGTTGAGGTTAGCCATCACCCAACATCTCTATTGTTACTTTATAACCGTTGTTCTGTTAGTCATGAATCACAGGGTAAATATCTGTGTTTTCTTTTTTTTAAAGATTGTGTGTATGTATGTATGTATGTATGTATGTATGTATGTATGTATGTATGTATACAGTGTTCTGCCTGCATGTTTGTCTGCAGGCCAGAAGAGGACACCAGATCTCATTATATATGGTTGTGAGCCGCCATGTGATTTTTGGGAATTGAACTCAGGAACTTTGGAAGAGCAGCCAGTGCTCTTAACCTCTGAGCCATCTCTCCAGCCCATATTTGTGTTTTCTGATGGTCTTAGGTGACCCGTGAAAGGGTTGTTCGAACACACACAGTCGTGACCCACAGGTTGAGAGCCACTACTAAAGGATCTGCCACTCAGTACTCTCACACTGAGTCTCAGGATCCTAGCAAACAAACACTGGGGGACATACCTGTGACCACAGCACATAGATAACTCTCCAGCCCAAGTTTTGAATATATTGTATTACATAATATGTATATTCCAAGGATGAAATCCAGTGCTGTCAGCGGTTAGGAGCATTGCCTGCTCTTCCAGAGGTCCTGAGTTCAATTCCCAGCAACCACATGGTGGCTCACAACCATCTGTAATGGGGTCTGGTGCCCTCTTCTGGCCTGCAGGCATACACACAGACAGAATATTGTATACATAATAAATAAATAAATATTTTTTAAAAAAGTCCCTCCAAAGTCGAGGCTGCAGGCCCTGAGGAGTGCTGCAGAGAAACTAGGGTAAGGGGCAAGCCAGGGCAAGTCCCTGAGCAGGCTGGGACTTCTCTTAGGAGATGGCAAGGGTTGAGAGCTGAGTATCAGGCCTTTGCAGAGGGCTACAAACACTACACAGGGAACGCGTGCAAAGGTCCTGGGGCAGAACCCAGCCTGGTGTGGGCATGGTTAGGAAAGAGTTGTAACCAGCCGCCCAGACCCGATAATCACACAGAAACTAGATTAATTACAATACTGTTTGGTTGATGTCTCAGGTGTATTTCTAGCTAGCTTTTACATCTTTAACCCATTTTTTTATTTTATATTTTACCACGAGGGTTGTGGTTTGTTACCTCTTGCTTTTTGGGCAGCTACATGGTGTCCCCCTGACTCTGCCTACTCTCTATATCTCTTCCAGCCTAGCTATATTCTGCCCTGCAATAGGCCAAGGCAGCTTCTTTATTAACCATTGGTAATAAAACATATTTGCAGCATATAGAGGGGAATCCCACATCAAACAGTGATTGTACAGCTGAGAGGGAGGTGACTGCTTGATCCTCACCAGTAAAGTTTTCAGTTGCTATCCATAGGGTGTCAGTGGACTCCATAAGGCAATACAGTGTGTCTTTAGCAGAGGCTGGAAGTGGGTGGTGGTGGGAAGGGGGTCAGCCAGGAGTCGGGGATATCACTGCATGAGAATTTGCCTCAACACAGTAGAGTGCACAGCTCACCGGTATGGTGGCAGTTGAGCTGACCAGAGACCGCAGGAGTCATACCAATCCATTGTACGTCTTTTGTCATTGAGGTGGTTGGTTGTACCTCATGCATGGGGTTTGGGCTGTAGACACCACCATCGATGCCATTACAAACCTTGGTAACCTTGACATCTGAGGGCTTTGAGGGTTGTACCTGATGAGATTTTATCTGTTTGGAGTCAAGGAAGCAAGTGTGGAGGTTTGGAGAATACCTGAGGCAGAAACAAGGCTTTCACCAGGTGCCAAAGGGAAAGCTTCACTTCTGTACACTTTGGTGTCTTGGAGGAAAAAAAAAAGTGTTAGCCAAATGACTACACCCATTTCCCATTCTTCACCCGAGAAAAAGAGCTCCAGGCTAACCCTGTCACACATCCCACACACCAGCGGGAGGTGACATTTTCCATGTGAGAACTGCTGTCCAGACTCAAGGGTGTTATAATTTTAAAAAACGGCACAAGAGAGAAAGATGCCATGTGGCAGAATTCACATGGGGTTTAGGGGAGAAGGGGGCGGGGAGACCAGCCTCCGGGGACAGGAGCAGCAGAAGAGAGAAGGGGAGAAACGGGACAGAGAAAAAGGTAGGAGGTGGGCAGGGACCTTTATTTATTTTTCTGAATTTTCGAGACAGGGTTTCTCCGTAGCTTTTTGGTTCCTGTCCTGGAACTAGCTCTTGTAGACCAGGCTGGCCTCGAACTCAGAGAGAGATCCGCCTGCCTCTGCCTCCTGAGAGTGCTGGGATTAAAGGCGGGGGCCACCACTGCCCAGCTGGCAGGGACCTTTTAAAAGGGAACGTTATCAGTGTTACAGAGGAGGTGCTCTTAGTGGCTACAGCTGAGGACCTGTCAGAACCCCAAGGGCAGGCCAGTGCAGATGCCTGAATACTAACACAGAGTAACTGGTCTGAGGTGAAGCCAACAATTGGACAAGGAGCTGGAACTGACACCTGCCTCCTGCTGTGACATCTCCTGTATGGGACAGGGACCTAAAATAATGGCAGCTTAATTAATTCCTGTTCCTGTTCCATCGTAACAATGCTTGATGACAGCAGCCCAGTCTCCTCCTCTCTTGTTGCTCTGCTATTCTGTGTTGCTTTTGACTTTATGGTGACAATTGCTGGGTAACCACGTCCAATTCCACGGAGAAAGGGAGAGGAAAGGTAAGTCTCTCCCAAACTTGGGAACTCTACCCAGAAATTTAGTCTTTGGTCACAGTGCCACAGCTAGCTGCAAGGGAATCTGGAAAGTGTGTTTTTGTTTGGCTCATTAAAAATTGACAGGAAGCCGTTGGATGGTGGTGGCACACGCCTTTAATCCCAGCACTCGGGAGGCAGAGGCAGGCAAATCTCTGGGAGTTTGAGGCCAGCCTGGTCTACAAGAGCTAGCTCCAGGACAGGCTCCAAAGCTACAGAGAAACCCTGTCTCGAAAAACAAAAAAAAAAAAAAAAAAAAAAAATTTGACAGGAATCATTTCTACCACATCCACTTCACCTGTGGCCTTTTTGTTTTTCCAGATAGGGTTTCTCTATCCCGGAACTTTGTAGACTGGGCTGGCCTCAAACTCACAGGCTTGCACCACCATGCCCAGCTCACCTTTGGGCTTTTAAACCATTCCTCAGGTTTAAAAATACAGACTCAGTGGGACTCATTCTCAGGGCCAGGATGACACCCACTACTCTGCCCCTAATGACAGTTAAACTCTTCGCTGGGCCTTTCAGGAAAGTCATAGCCAGGGCCTCCACAGGAAATCTCAGTGTTGGCCAAATGAAACACAAAGCAGAAGGCATCTCTGTTTGATTCCAAACTAGTTCTTCTGTAGGGCTGGGCCAGCTCTGCCCTGTGCCCGCTCCTCCCCACTTCCTTATGTTCCCCCGCAGTTCCCACTCAAAAGCCAGGGCTCTCCTTAGATATTTTAACATGGATGTTTGGTTTTGTTTGGTTTTTAGACATCCTTTCTGTTGGTTTACTCATGGCACCTCATTTGTGCATATAAAAATAGCCCATCACTAGAATGGTACACAAAAGTAGTGAAAATAGGGCGTAAAATATCTGGCAGTGGGTAGTACCTTGCAACGCCCTTGCCCCTCTGAGTTGGGGAAAGCTGGCATAGGGATGGAAGAGACAGGGCCTAAAACTGTAGGCCCCCCCACCTCAGCCCCCGTACCTCAGGGTCTGGAACTCACCCAGCATCGCAGGCTAGCAGCACTTCCCTTCCCTGCCCCCACCCAGGCACCACGCCAGGGTAATTTCCTCCTGCAGCCCCTGGCATCCATCTGGGAAAAATTAAAGGTGATTATAGAATCTGAAGCTATTTAACTAGGGATGGGGAAGATAGGAGCAATTCTTCTTCCTTGCTTTCTCAATGCGTCTATTTATCCGATGCCTCTGCTTCTGGAAAGACCCTATGTTCTCCAAAAACTGCAGATGTGACACTTGTGCCTTCCTGGCAGGGTAATTAAATCCTCCCAGGAGATCTGCGACCCTAGCATGGGTGGATCCCCCAGCTGTAGAGCCCCATCACTGCAGAGAGGGCTCACGTCTACTCAGAGCTCCCCTAAGCATGCCCACTCTAGTGTTGATGGCATCCTGCTTTCTGGGCAATATCCCGGCCACACTCAGTCCAGGCAAAGGAGCTAGGGGTGGTGTGGGTTTCATGGACCTGGTGGTGCTGCCTGAGAAGCGGACTGGGTCTACTGGGTCTTGGGTGAGCACCGTGGGGAGGGCTTGGCAGTAGGACTGTGGCTGCATTGGTGGATCAGGGCCTTGCTGGAGGGGCATGAGCAGGCACAGGTGAAGCAGAATGAAGACGGCTTCCTGCAGCTTATGGACCATAAAGTCTTACAGGTGCTCCTTCGTCATGTGACGCTCCCAGAAGTTGGCATCGGTGAAGGTGATGAGGCAGTGGGTGCACGGTGGAACTCCTAGGTGGCCTGGGGAATATGGGGAGAAGCGAGGGGCAAGGCCAGGAGGAATCTCCATGCCCTGCCCTGGGCCTTGGAACCACGCCAGCCATCACCAGTGACTAGGCTGTGTGTGGATGAGCAGACTGAAGCACAAAGAAACAAAAGGGTGCAGCCAGTTTTAGAACCCAAAGTCCGCCTGTCCGACAAAGCGGTGTGCACGGTGATCAAGACACTGCCTGAGGCGAATCTCCATACCCTAGGCAAGGACAAGTTTCATCATCCAAAAACTGGGGTCTTGATCTTAGCAACTCCATACGTTGTAATGCTACAATGTCGGCAATTACTGCTCCTGAGACAGTGACAGGCAGCCCTGACACATGGGAGCTGACACCCCTAGGCCTGTCTAGAGAACAGATGCAATTTCACAGAACGTTAGTTAGAGACAAGGCTACGATGGGAGCCAGACAAGAATGAATATTACCCAAGCCATGAGCGTGACTGCTGCTGTGCCAGCCTCAGCTTCAGCCCCAGTCCCTCCCTCCCTCCTTGGTCAGGCTTACAATCACTGACAGGTGCAGTGACATGCGCCTTTAGCCCCAGCACTTGGGAAGCAGAGGCAGGTGGCCCTCTGAGTTCAAGGCTAGCCTGGTCTACAGGACAGTCAGGGATACACACGTGGCTCCCAGATGTCTGAGCTGCTTGTTACTGTCTCAGGAGCAGTCAGTTGCAGACGCTATAGCGCTGCACCAAGCTACTGAGACTTTGTCTCAGAAAAACAGGAAAAAAAAAAAGGAAAAAAAAAACAATCATGGATACCTCTGCATGCTGAACAGTGACCCTCTCCTTTGAATTCTTCCTAAAAACCCCACACAAACCTAATCCTGTAACACCACCCTTTAAATTTTTTTTTCATTTTTTTTCCAAGATAGGGTTTCTCTGTGTAGTCCTGGTTGTCCTGGAACTCACTCTGTAGACCAGGCTGGCTTTGAACTCAGAGATCCACCTACCTCTGCACTGCCCCCCCCCCCAGTGCTCAGATTAAAGGCGAGTGCTACCACCACCAACCCTATAAATCCTGTTTAACACTCGTCCTGCCTAGAGACTACCCCCAGTAAAGGACAAAGGGTATGCCTCAGTGGTAGAGCCTCTGCATAGCATGCACAAATCTCTGATATATGTCATATATGTATATGAACAGAGATCCGCCTGTCTCTGCCTCCGAGTGCTGGGATTAAAGGCATGCACCACCACCACCACCTGCCTATATATAAGATTATCAAAATAGGGTTTCTCTGTGTAGATCAGGCTGACCTTGACCTCACAGATCCACTTCTTACCTCTGCCTGTTTTGGAGGCGTGTGCCACCACCGCTGGTCATTGCACCCTTTTGATATAAGAAGAAACTGAAGCCCAGTCACATTGAAAGTCTTAAGGATTAATTGGGCAATGGTGGCACACACCTTTAATCCCAACGCGGGGGGGGGGGGGGGAGGGGGTAGAGGACAGGGAGATCTCTGTGAGTTCAAGGCCAGCCTGGTCTATTTAGCTAGTTCCAGGACAGGCTCCAAAGCTACAAAGAAAGCCTGTCTCTAAAAACAAAACCCAGTCTAGGGACGAGTTGGGCCAAGAACCTTGGGACTCATGCACAGTAAGGATATTCCCAGTCACAATGTCACAACCCCAACCTCACCTGGAATCCCCTTATCCCTCCGAATGGCATCCTGCTTCTGCCTGTCCTCAGAGCAGGGTACATCTGATCATGAGAGGAGGCCATTTCTGGCACATAGCTAGCCAGCTAGGGTCACTGCAGCCACTTCAGATACAGAGGTTCTCCTGCACCACCCCCTCTATCCAGCAAGTACTCAAAGAAGTTGCCTCCCTCTCCTTGGAGAAGCCTGCCGCTCCGCGGTCTCTTCATAGTGATGTCCCCCATGGTCAAGAACAGAAAAAAAATGTGTGAGGCTGCGCATGTGTCACCGGCCACAGAGGGCCCGTTAATTTTTTTTTTTTTACAGTCATTGAACTCTGATGACACTCACTAGAAAAGCTTCACCCGTCTCATACGAGAGACTCCTCAGGTTTTTGACACTTCGATCTTCAAGTCCCTGTGACCTCTGATCTTCACCAAAACAAATCCTTGACAAGATGGAACCCTTGACCTTTCATACCAGCGTTGTCCTAGTTTCTCACGAGGGTCCAGACAAGTAGTGGCACTCACACTTTAGCCCGCCTCTTCCCAAGAGACACCCTTCTCTGACATCTGTGAGTCCTGTCTCACCCAGACCCACCGCCGCCCTCGCTTGCTTCTAGCTCATTTTTGGACCGCGCTGCTCCCAAGCTCGCTGCGCCCTCTAGCTTTCCTCCTCATAGCACGAGGACTGTCCCTTAACTGCGCCTGATAGTCGATCGCCACAGCGCGGCTACCGGAGGAGAGCGGGATAGACTCTTTCCAGTCTACAGACTCTAGTGATCTCCGGGTCTGTTGCCCCCACCCGTGTCGCCCAGCCAGGTTCAAGGTTGTATTTCGGCATTAGCACAGCCAGTCAGCCAGATCCTGGGAATAGCAGGTGGAGAGGTCCTTCGCTGTACTTGGGAGCGTGATGATGACGTTCGTAGTGTGTTCCGTACAACTCGAAGCTTACTGCTCGGACTGTTCTCTTTGCCGTACAAGCCTATACTCACTGCGCAGGCGTTTTGGTTGCTGGTCGTGGTAGGGCACCACCCGCTAAGCTTTCTGCGCACGCGCTCCGACTACATTGTTCCAGTGCCCAAACAGCCTTAGCTAGGAAGAGAGTGCGTTCCGAGTGCTGAGTGCTGCCAAGAACTTGTCTCTCCGCAGCGGCGTTCCAAGACACACCCGGTCTTGGAAGGAATGACGTCAAGATAGGGCCACCCGAAGGCGTCCGAACGTCTCTGAATCCTGACGCTCCGACCCCTTCAGCCTCCATCAGCTCGTCTTAAGGGGCGGGGCTCCCTCTGTTCTCCCGGCGCGTCTACTCTTTGCTCGGTTGGTGATTTGGAACGGGGAGAGGGAGGGCCATCCTCGGGTCCCCGAGTGACTGCAGCCAGATTTCTGAGCTTTTGAAATAGAAAGAGAAACGGGTTCGTGTGGAGAATGGACAGACACCTAGCTCTCCAGGGAATAGGCCCTTGGCGTTGGGTTTCTAGGTCCTACAATCACACTGGAGAATGGAAATAGAGGACAGACAGGAGGGGTGAAATCTGGATCTACAGTGGGGTAGCTAGGAAAGGGTGTTGCCGGGCGTGGTGGTGCACGCCTTTAATCTCAGCGTTCTGGGAGGCAGAGGCAAGAGGATCTCTGAGTCCTGGCCAGCCAGGATTACACAGTGAGACCCTGTCTTTAAAAAAAAAAAAAAGCAAACGAAAACAAAACAGAAGGTCTCACGTGTTCCTGACCCCTGTGTTTGCCCACCTCTTGCTTTCCAGCAATGCCTCTGCCGCAGGGTGACGTGACTGCCTTATTCCTGGGGCCTCCGGGCTCGGGAAAGTCCGCGCTGATCTCCGCGTTATGTGGCAAGAATGTGGAAACGGTAGAGATTCCTGAAGGACGACCGGATTCTGGAGTCCCCGTTCTGAGAGCTGCGGCCCCAGGCCTCTTCCTAGGCGAGCTGAGCTGCCCACCCGCAGCTCCAGGACCCTGGGCGGCGGAGGCCAACTTGCTGGTATTGGTTCTACCAGGATCTGAGGGGACTGAGGAGCTCTTGACCCCAGCTCTGGGAGAGGCAGCGCGGGCCGCCCTGGCCCGAGGGACCCCGCTGCTAGCTGTACGGAATCTCCGTCCTGGAGATTCCCAGAATGAAGCTCAGGCCCGGGATCAAACTGCGGCCATGCTGAACAGTGCTGGGTTAGGAGCTGCTCCTCTCTTTGTGCTACCGGCCGATTGCAGCAGCAGTGACCGCTGCGAAGAGCTGGAGCGCCTGCAGGTGGTGCTGCGGACCCAGGCGGAGGCGCTGCAGAGGTGAGGGAACGGTTCGGGCTGGGTAAGGTGGCCTGATGTCTTTAGCCTAGACCCAGCTCGGCTACTGTGGTCTTTAATGTCCTCGAGCCCTGTTCCTAGAGAGTTAGAGGCAAGACTTTATTGGCTGTCTATTTTTCCATACCCTACTTATTTTGCCTAGACTCCCCCAACCACCCATGAGCACAGATTTTGAGATCAGGGACGTTTCATCATAATGAGGGCTGAGGGCTCGTTTTTTGTTGTTGTTGTTTTGTTGTTACCTTTTTTGTTATTTAAAACATGCACCCATCAAGGGTCAACTGGAGGGCCTGCCACAAAGATCTTAGCTTGTGTAAGCTCTCTGGCATCACAGGCCCCCTCTCTCTTGTTAGAAGAGGCCCAGACATGTGCAAATACTGTCTACAGACAAAATGCTGGACTGTGTGACATTTGTGGTCCCTCGAAGATTTTACCCGAAGACTCTCCAGCACCCTCGTACTCATCAGCTTGGTTCTCAAGTGACCCCCATCCCTCCCTCCCCTTTTCCCTAGCACCAAACACTTTAAGAAGGAGCTCTGTTTCTGATTGGTCGCCCGACTCCTCCATTCCCCAATTCCCTCTCAGATGCACACAGCCTACTGACTCTCTCCTAAACCCATCCTACCCCAGCTGCCTCAGTTTATGAATCAGGAGGAAGGGGCTGCCTCTGCCCGAGAGCACTTCTTTTTTACTAGACTCACCTGCCCCGACAGTCCTAGGTGAATTCTCCCCTCGCCCTTCCTAACATACACCCTCAGGAAAAAAGCCTTTGGGGACATCTTAAGCCACGGCGCATTCGCCATTATGTTCTTGCCTTCCTCTAAGCCCCACCTCCTAGAAGCCTTCCCTAGTCCTGAGGGTTGTATCAGGGAAGATACCGAGTCCTCGTTTTCGGTTCTGTTGAAAACCTGACTTTAAGTTTAGCTGTGTTATCCAGACCTCTGGGCAGCCCTTAAGACCCTCCCTTAACTTTATGGTCCCGCCCCACCTGATTTCTTATTTTGCTTTAGTTCCTGGGATTCAGAGAGTTTTTTTTTTAATATAACCATGGCCAGGTTCTTGCTCGCCCAGCTTTTCCTGCTTTTAAAGCTCTTCTGCCTTTGACCTTTTCCCTCCCTCCCTCCCCCACCCCTGCAGGCTCCTGCCACCTGCTCAGGATGGCTTCGAGGTGCTGGGCGCAGCAGAGCTGGAAGCTGTGCGCGAGGCCTTCGAGACCGGTGGCCTAGAGGCGGCACTGTCGTGGGTGCGCGCTGGCCTTGAGCGCCTGGGCAGCGCGCGACTGGATCTGGCGGTGGCCGGCGCTGCCAATGTAGGACTTGTGCTGGACATGCTACTGGGCCTGGATCCTGGCGACCCAGGTGCTGCGCCTGCCTCGGAGCCCACTGGACCCACCCCTTATCCGGCTCCAGAGCGCCCCAACGTGGTGCTCTGGGCAGTTCCCTTGGGCCCCACGGCCACATCCCCTCCCGCCACCCCTCACCCGACCCACTATGATGCCCTGATCCTCGTCACCCCTGGGGCTCCCACCGAAGAGAACTGGGCCCAGGTCCGCTCGTTGGTGTCCCTAGATGCTCCACTCGTCGGTGTGCGCACGGACGGCCAGGGCGAGGATCCACCCGAGGCTCTGGAAGAAGAAAAACCTGAGAAGCCCGAGAATGCAAGCGGCGGGAAGGCAGGGGATGCAGGCAGAGAAGGAAAAGAAAACCCTGGCTCCGGGGACTCAGGGCCCAAGGCTGCTCGGAGCCCGGAAGATGAGCCGTGGGAGGTGCTGGAGGAAGTGCCTCCGCCGGTGTTCCCTCTGCGCCTAGGTGGTCTGCCGGGGCTGGGAACCTGGCTGCAGCGTGCATTGCCTGCGGCTCAGTCCGGGGCGCTTCTGCTGGCGCTGCCACCCTCAAGTCCCCAGGCGGCGCGGAGGAAGGCGGCGGCGCTGCGGGCAGGAGCGTGGAGGCCAGCCTTGCTGGCCAGCCTGGCGGCGGCGGCCGCTCCAGTACCAGGATTGGGCTGGGCTTGCGACGTGGCGCTTCTCCGGGGACAGCTGGCTGAGTGGCGGCGCTCGCTGGGCCTCGAACCGGCGGCAGTGGCACGCCGTGAGCGCGCCCTGGGCTTGGCTCCTGGAGTGCTGGCCGGACGCACGCGCTTCCCGGGCCCAGTGACACGCGCTGAGGTGGAGGCCAGACTGGGGTCCTGGGCCGGCGAGGGCACAGCGGGAGGCGCGGCGCTGGGCGCACTCTCCTTCCTATGGCCCGCAGGTGGCGCAGCAGCGACAGGTGGGCTGGGTTACCGTGCTGCTCACGGTGTACTGCTGCAGGCCCTGGATGAGATGCTGGCTGATGCTGAGGCGGTGCTGGGACCCCCAGAGCCCAACCAGTGAGGAATGTGGTAGGGGCTGGGGTGCCTGGTGACTTGGTTTCTGGCCCCACAGCCTCTGAGATTGAGGGGTGGTACTCAGATCCGGGGACTTGAAGGAGACTGACTTCTCGTTGAAATCTGCGATGTGCAGTCACCTGATTTCCTGGGTTATAAATGGGAGTAGGGTCTGAGCGCCATTAGTTTGCCTTTTCAGACGCTAATGCAGTGAAGGGAGTTGGGGGCCTGGGCTCCTAGAAATGGGAGCCTCTTGGCCTCCAGCTGGCACCTGGGCCTAGATATTTAAGCCTAGATTACTGCCTGTGAGTGGACCTATGGCTATGGGCCTGGTACTATAGGGAGTTAGAACCCTTGAAGGGCTGGGTCCCAATAGGAAACAAGATGTGTAAGTTGCCCCGGAAAGAACAGGTTTTTGGGACCTTCATTTCAGGAGCCATGAGAGTCTTAAATGCTGGTGCTTAAGAAGTGGGACTCGGTTGTCAATTCCTGTGTGGTAGGAAACCCTGTAGAGACGCCCTGGTCTCATGGAGAATGGAGGTTCGTCCGCCATTTAATCTCGGAGGCTTTGGTGTAGAGAACATTGTCTCACAAAATTGAAGGGAAGGAACCAGAGGTCTAGGCATGGTGGTCTCCTGATGGCCAGATTCTGGGAATGGGGTCTTTTCGTTATGGAAGAGTAGAGAGCCACACTTGAGAAATGCCTCCCCGTGCTTTACTGGGAAGGGGTGTGACTACCCCCACTTTAGAGGTGCTGGGTGATCCAGGGTCTCTGGCATGTGTGTTCCTGTTCCACTTTACTCTATCCCTGGTTTCCTCTGTCATAAGGAGTGCTTCGCTCTTGCTGTTTCGGAAAGGCGAGGAGGGGATGTCCTGCTGCAGCAGTCTAGACTTCTCTGGGAAGGTGCCAGGAGTGAGGCAGGAACCACAGTGCTGCCAGCCTTGTGTAGGTGGGAAGTGCCACCGTATGGTTCTTCAGTGTCAAAACAGAAAGGGAGGACTGGGTAGATGGGACAGCCAGGCTCAGAGATGCAGGCCAGAGGCTCATCGACACAGCAAGGCACTGCGTGACCTGGCCCCTGCCTCTTCTCATTCCCTGCCCATCTCCAGCAAGCCTGGTTTGTCTTTCTGATGGACTTGTGATTTTCTGTGGAATGCTCTGCCTCCCCATCTTTTTTTGAGATTGGGTCCTTATCTATCAGATCTCCCTGAAATGGCTCCTTTAGAAGCTTTCTGATCACCCCAAGTAGCTTACACCGACCCTGGCCATGTGATCATTCCTGTGTCAATAATGGCTTTATTTATTTGTTCATTCTTTCATTCACCTGGTTGTTGGCTCTTGCCCTGTGCCTGTCCTTTTCTTGGGTGTACCCTAGCTCCCAGAGCAGTGCCTGACACACGGTAGGTGCCTAGTGTTTTTAGTATTTTAGTTTATTGATCATTGGCATGTGGCCTGGAATTCAGGTGGTCAATATCTTGTTACAAAAAGGGAGACAAGCTAGGGAGAAGCAAGCATCTAGTGGGAGAGTAAACAGGGATAGGCACGGCTTGATTATTGTCATCACTTGAATGAGTGTCGTATTATCTGCCAAATGAAAGCATTAGAACCATGAGAGCTTCTGAGGGCTCCGTAGTCGTGTGCCACCCCCCTCTAACCTTGAACTCTCACCACTGACACGATTTGTCCCCACACAAGTCGAGGGGGCACCTGATATGGAGGCACATGCATGCAACCCCAGCACTTGGTGGAGATAGGAGAACTAGAGGTTTAATGCCATCTTCAGCGACAATGGAGAGCCGCAGGCCCATCTGAGCTACGGGTCCCATCTCACTACTAGTCTAGACTGACCTTGAACTCAGTGTGGTTTGGCCCCTGCACAGCCCTGAGCCCCAGCACCTGGCTCCATTTTAAAGCTCTTATTGAGATACCTGGCATTCTTCTCACTGAGAGCCTACGTTGTCCCTTACACCTGAGCACACCTCAGCTCACATGACACACCTGATTGGAAATACTTGAATTCATAGGTGGAGAACCCAATTCACATACCCACGCTGCCTCAGTTAGGTTTCATAGGTTCCCCCGAAGCTGGGGTTTGAATCCAGTGCCTCACATATTCAAGGCAAACACTTTATTCTGGAACTCAGTTCCTAGCCCTTCATGGGGGGGTGGGGGCTCTGGACAGGGACTCTAACACTGCCACGCCCTCAGCTCCTCGCTATGGACTCTAGGCAGGGGCTCTACCACTAAGCTGCACCCTCAGCTTGCTTTTTATCTTTTGATTTTGAGACAAGGTCTCACTCAGTTTCCTGGACTGACCTTGAATTTGGGAATTTCCTCTCTCAGCCTCCTGAGTAACTGAAATCTCAGGCCTGCACCACCTCCTGGCTTCATAGTTTTTCCAAACCTGTGATGTGTCAATGAATCAAATACAAATAAAATTTGAGATTGCCTTTTCTCAGTGGCATTAGTCACTTGTGATTAGTGGCCACAGTGTGTGACAATACAGATATGAAGTGGCTGTAGGATTACAGGAGGTCTATGCACAAATCCAGGGGCAGAGAGGCCTACCTAGTTGGGATGAGAGGATATCGGGCAAGTCACCAGCAAATGGCATCTAGCAAGCTGTGTTGGTTGCTTTCTTTTTGTGTGACAACATACCCAAGGAAAGCAACTTATGAGAGAAATTACACTGTATTTAGCTCAGAGTCTATGGATACAGGCCACTGTGCCGGGAGTCTGTCAGCAGGAGGGCGGAGCAGGTGGTCACATTGCAGCCCCCTTTGGGAAGCAGAGAGAGAAATTCTGGTATTCAGTTTGATTTCTCCTCTTACTTTACCCCAGGACCACAGTGTATCGAATGCTTCCTCAAACAGTATGTGGTTTCACCTCAGCCTAGATACTCCTCCATAGCCGCATCCGGACAGTGACTGTAGGTTATAAGTCAACAGTGTTAGCTACCACTGCAGGTAGCTGAGAATTTGCTGTGTATACGCGTGTGTGCGTCCAAGCATGCCCGCTGGCCTGTGGGCGCTCTTGAACACATACCCAGCTCCCGTGTACTGCTGCTGCTCCTGAAAGACCTTGAACACAGATGTTAGTCTCTATTGCCTGGGCCTACTTCCCTGAGAACAGTAAGGCAGCCAACCTGGAACCTTCTGTGATTCCGATGAAGTACCCTGCTCTCGCCAGCACTCTGCTCCTTTGTTTTATTTATTTTTTTGGTATTTTGACATGGTGTAGGCTTGCCTTGAACTCAGCACGTGGCTGGCAATGGCCTTAGAATCCTGGTCCTCTGGGTGGTGGTGGCGCACGCCTTTAATCCCAGCACTTGGGAGGCAGAGGCAGGCGGATCTCTGTGAGTATCCTGGTCCTCCAGCTCTGACCGTGCCTCACCTTGGTGCCTCCTGGCATCCCTGCTCTGGGCTTTGCTGCTGCTCCTTCTCTCCTCCAGGCAGCGGGCGCATGCTGGCCACATCAGAAGAAAGCAGCATGTGTAGCCCTTGCGTGTGCTGGTCAACGCTGTTGTGTTGTGGCCTGTGGGTGGTTTGTCGGTTTGTTGTTTTTGTTACTTGAGGGTCCAGGCTGTCTCAGACGCTTGAGCCCAATTGTCATCATGTCCCTCTCCCATCCTGGGTTGCAGGCAGGAATGGCCGCCTTCTAAACTAGGTCTTCCCCCTCCGAGGTAGGATGATGTCTTACTCTATAGCTGACTGGCTTCAAACTTGTGCAGCAGCCTCTGAAGTTCTGGGGTTACAGAGGTAAGCGACTACATATGGTGCCTAACTCTTTGGTTAGGATTTTGGGCTTTTTTAGGGTATAAGTAAAGCTGAGAGTGAGCTGCCTGTCTCAAAAGAAAAGACTCCTCTTCCTTGTGGACAAGCCAGTGGTGATCCCATGAGGCTCCTGGGGTCTGGAAGATCCTGAACGCAGGGATTCTGGGAAATATCAGCCCTCCAGGCTGGAATTGCAATGGTACAGTGAACCTTGGCTTTGGCCCTGTCAGAAGAGCAGGTTCCCAAAATCGGTGAGCAGATGAGATGCCCTCCTCAGCTTAGGGGAGAGTGAGTCCTACACTTCTGGCTCATGAAGGAACTGTTTATTGGAATGGGGGACAAATCCAGCAGTCTGGTCAACCTGTGGTGTGTTTTGGAAAAACAAATAAAAGAGTAGAAATCCTGTTGTCTGTGCGTGTGTGTTTGTAAAAGGTTTGATTTATTGATTTTAAGTATGTGTGTGCGCGCATGTGTGAATGTGTATATGCTTGTGGTGGGAAAGGCGCTTTCATCTCTGAGTCATCTCCCCCAGCGTTGAACTTGATGATTTTTTTAAAATTCTTTTGGTTTTTTGAGACAGGGTTTCTCTGTGTAACAGCCCTGACTGTCCTAGAACTCACTCTGTAGACCAAGCTGGCCTTGAATTCACAGAGATCCACCTGCCTCTGCCTTCCCAGTGTTGGAGTTAAAGGCTTGCGCCACCACTGCCTGATGAATTGGTGATTTTTAAGAGCTTCCAAATTTGTGGTGGCCAAGCAACTGACCTCTGGAGCCAGCCTGACCCACTGTTCCCAAGTTCAGCCTCTCTGAGGACAAGCACTTGGATGTGCTCTCAGCCTGCTCTGGATTCTAGCCACTGGGACAACAGCAAACATGATGCAATCAGAAGCTTGAAAAGTGCTTATGAACTGGGTTTCCTCCCTGGCTGTCCTTGGGCTCCCTGCCATCACTGTCAGGTTGTGAAGCCCAGGCTGGGGGCTGGGGATAAAGCTCAATGCTTTCTAACAATCCCCCAGTGAGGGGCTGTGGTGTGGCTCAGTGGTAGAGCCCCTGCCTAGAATCCCCAGTGAGGGGCTGGGGGTGTGGCTCAGTGGTAGAGCCCCTGCCTAGAATCCCCCAGAGAGGGGCTGGGGTGTGGCTCAGGGGTAGGGCCCCTGTCTAGAATCCCCCAGTGAGGGGCTGGGGGCATGGCTCAGTGGTAAGAGCACCTTCCTAACAGTCAAGGCCGTAGGTCTATCCTAACTACTGACAAAATTCATCAAGGCTTTTGGTATGTAACCTGGGCTATGTTTCGGTTCATTATCCTGCCTCAGTCTCCCAGGCATTGGGTTTAAAGGTATACTCTACCAAGCCCTGCTAAAACCCTAAGCTCTGTCACATTTGAGCTCTGTGATCTTCAAACTGATTGACATCCGCCCTCTGAGTCTCCAGACTCATCTCTTGAAAACAGGGATGAGAATGGTAGTACCACCGTGCAGACTGAGCAGGAAAGATGAGAAGCCACCTCTCAAAGGCCAGCACACCCGCTGTTTCTGAACCCACCCAGCTCTCAGCCTTCTGACTGGGGAAGGAGTTCCGGTGAGGTGTGGCCATGTGGCCAGCTCCCTCCATGGAGCTGAGAGTGTTGAGCCACTCCTGGGTCACACAGTGTTTAATCATACAGGTGAGGCATTTCTAGGTACTTCCCTTTGGCACAGAAATTGGCTGATCCATGCCTGGAATGAGCAGAAACCCGCTTTGGATTATGCTAAACTTGTAGAGCGAAGGGAAGCACCAGCCTTTTGTGCTCATTCAGCAGATATACACCCCTCCCTCGCAGTGAAACTCCAGTGTTTGACTTTGGCCTTGTGACTCACCTTAGTCAGTGGGGTGCTACCAGAGCTAACCTCAACAACAACAACAAACACCTTATATGCACTTGTCCAAACACCTCTATGCTGTGAGGACATCTGCCAGAGAGCCACTGAAGAAGGATTCGCACGTGTCCAGGGAGGAGCCGGTTCTAGATCAAACCAGCTAGGAGAGCCAGCCCAGCCCAACCTACACAACCTTAGAAGGCGTGTTGTCTTAAAGTCTTAGTTTGGGGCTGGTTTGTTACATGGCGTTATTGCAGCACAGCTGACTCATACACCTTTGTTGTTTTCGGCAGCTGAGATTAGGAAGTTGTTACTGTAGCATAATGTAGCCTGCTCCAGTTGGTGCAGTGGCACCTGCCAACTAATGGCCACGCTAAGTGGCAGCTATCACAGTGATTAGTGTTTACTGAGACATGGTGTCTGAAGAACCATCATTCTTTTAAAGGTGGCACCAACTGCTGGAAGTGCTTTTAAAGTAGCCGTCTTCATCATAAAACAACCCTGGGGTTCTCACTATTAATAGCCACCCACTGCAGACGTAAAAGCAGGTGAGAGAGGGAGAGTCAAGTCAGGAGAGGTGGCCACGGCCTTTGGCGTGTGTGACAGGCCAGGGTTCAAATCAGGATTCTCGCCCATCCTAGCTGTTTGACTCAAGGCAAGTGCCAGCCACCATCTGCCTCAGTGTTTCCACCTGTGAAGTGGAGCAATATCAATTCCAACTGGGTGGGGTTCGCAGCTGTGATCCCAGCACTCTAGAGGGTGAGGCAGAGTTTTGCCTTGAGTTTGAGGCTGGACTGCACTATATTAATGCCAGTCTCAAATAATAGCAGTAAATAACAAATCAAGTTCATGGAGCTCTGAGCGTAACATGATTATAAAAGATAACATACTTAGGAGATTGGCATGTTGCCCTTCAAAAGCAAGGACTACATATTTTTCACCCTTTTTTTTTTTTTTTTTTTTTTTTTTTTTGACAGGGTTTCTCTGTGGCTTTGGAGCCTGTCCTGGAACTAGCTCTGTAGACCAGGCTGGTCTCGAACTCACAGAGATCTGCCTGCCTCTGCCTCCCGAGTGCTGGGATTAAAGGCGTGCGCCACCACCGCCCGGCCACCCTTTTTCTTTTTAAAAGATCAGGTTCTCCTGTAGCCCAGGATGGCCCCCCCCCACTCCTACCCCAAGTCTTACTGTGTGGCTCTCTGGCTGTCCTGAAACTTATTATGTAGACCAGGCTGGCCGCGAACTCACAGAGATCCACCTGCCTCTGCCTCCCCAGTGTTGGGATTAAAGGTGTGCGCCAGCACTGCCTGGATCTTTTTTTGTTTGTTTTTGAGACAAGGTCTGGCTATGCAGCCCGAGTTCATCCTGAACTCACGATCTTACTACCTCAGCCTGTGTTACCACATAGAAACCCTCCCTTCTTTGAACTGGAGCAGGAGGAGGGGCAAGAGTCGGAAAAGAACGCTGGGACCCGTACTGTTTACACCCACCTTCCCAAGATGCATCCAATCACAGGGCCTGAGGTTTACTCTGTTCATCAGTTTTAATTTACGGGTGCCTGAAGAGCTGCAGGCCGAGGACAAATAGGGACCTCAAGACACATACTCCTTAGTCTTCACTCACCCCTGCCAGGCGGGTAGGGCGCGGGCAGGCAGTCTGCCCGGCGCAGGAAGTAGAGGTAGGAGGCCGAAGGCACCTCGGCTCCAGCCTTGGTGTGGCAGGCGCTCTCTGTGGCACAGCCTCTCGTGGCAAATTTCGTGTTGATAATACCTGTAACGACATTTCAGGACGGAGTCAGCTTCTTCACGACCCGGGAGTCTAACACACACACATCCCCGCCCTGCGCCATAATTTCTTTGTCCAGTTCTCTGGAACTCCCCCCCCCCCCCATCACCTGTAATGGGGGAAGTGTGGACCTCCGTTTCTGACACACGCCCCTCCCCCCATCAAAGTCTATCCACCAGCTCACCAGCCTGCACATTGCCAGCAAAATAGATGCAGTGTGTTTCCGGGCCCACGCAACGGGCTGTCTGGGTTCCTGGACACGTCTCTTGGAAGGGCACAATGCAGGAGGGACACATCAGGCCGTTCTCCGTCCGATTGTTATGGGGAACTGTGAATAATGACGGAGGATAAAGCAGATTGGAAGAATTGTCTCGGAACCTGGGGATCACGGGGTTGGGTTGGTGGAGTTTGTGGATCAGGAAATGGACCACCTGAAGCAGTCAAGGGCTTGCCAGATGTCACAGGGCAGGCATCCTGTTGTTGGGGTGGCACTTACGGGGCACCGAGACACTGTTGCAACCGTCGCTCTGACAGCAGTGGGCGTTGGACACCATGTAGTCATTGGGACTCATGGTGGTAGATACGAAGCCAGAGTAGCAGTCTTTAAACTTCGTGCAGGCCTTGAAGGTGCTCACTGACTTTCGGCCCTCTGCAGGGTAGGAACAGGAATCAACCACTTCCTCCCCTTTCCTCCTCATCTCACCATTCCCTACCTCCCTAACGGGGACTCCTCTCTCTCTCTCTCTCTCTCTCTCTCTCTCTCTCCC